TCTACTCCTATGGATTCCCTATTCTACCTGCCCTTGGAGCTCTAGTAAGTTAGCTGATTATACCTTGAAGATCTTTAACAGGTAAGGTCACTGATAGGTCTACTAAAATGCTTCCCTTCCATTTTGCCTATTGTGACCCCAAGACTCAGAATGATTTTTTAAGTGTTTTCTATCCAAGTTTGAGAAAAAAGCAAGAGTCAGACAAACAACTAACCAGAGATTGTTGAATGAAGTGCTTAATTATGCATATATATATATATAAAAATTTATATTTCTTTAAATCTTCCTTTAAATGGTCTGTTCTTTCAAAAATGTTACACAAAAGCTATTTAATAAGCTTAGCTTTAAATGTGATTTGGTGCTTTGAGATTTTAGATAATATATATTTGAGTGCAAATGATCGCTAATTTTTTACTAAGCTAGCTTACAGAAAGTCTGGCATTCCAGATAATGAGGTCATAAAGCAGACCACTCACAGAGCCCGCACAGCTGCTATCTAAACCACAGGCACTTGAGTACTTTCCTTCTGAGTAATAGCAAATATCTCAGGACAAAATAACAGTACCATAGCCCATACTCCCTCTGGGCACATGTGGACACATGTATCCCCTTACAGTCACACTATGACGGGCAGCAACTCTAGCTTATGCTTTTTTATACTCCTGATAATGACTACCATGCAACATAAATATATATAAAAATATAATAAGTGTCTTTTCAGGCACCTGGGTGGCTCAATTGGATGGGCGGCTGCCTTCAGCTCAAGTCGTGATCCCAGACTCTCGGGATCGTGTCCCTCATCGGGCTCCCAGCTCCACGGGGAGTCTGCTTCTCCCTCTGACCTTCAGCCCTCTCAGGCTCTCTCTCACTGTCTCGCTCTCAAATAAATAAATAAAAATCTTTAAAAAAAATATAATAAGTGTCTTTGGAAATCTGATGAACTCTATAGCCTGAGTTATGTGATGAGTTAATAGGCCACTTAAGTAAAGTGTCTACCAGGACCAGAAGGGTTCCCACTAGGGCCCAGGTCTTCTATCTGAGCACAGAGAATCTCAGTAGCGTGGACTAGAAATATTTATAGAGACAGACCCCCTCGTGCACACGTGGCCCCAGACTCTCCCACCTGCCTGTCAGGAGCCTCCCCTGGCAGCAGTAAGTACCCGAGGGGGTGGGGGGGGGGAACTCCCTTCCCTTTCAGCTTCGCTTCCAGGGAGCCTATTCAAAGGGTGCCATCTGCAGGATGGAGTGAGGACCATAAATACTTCATTTCCCCCAAATGATGGGTGCATTTGTTTAAAATGGGTTCAAGAGCTAATAAACACAAAATGTAAGGTCATGGTTTACCACATTATTTCTTCTCAGATATAATTGATATTTCTACCATTGTCTTAAATGTCTTTACATGATCTCATGTAAGGAGAGGCAGAGGCGTATCTGTTCCAGGAGTTCACATTGCCCTCGGGCATCTCCCTGTGCATTGGAGGACTTGCTCTTCCCTGTAGAAGGACAGCATCCCAGGGGTACAACAGGTGCTATAGCTCCCTTCCTGCTTTGATTCAAGACAATTTTTTAACTTGAATGTAGAAAACGGGTGCTCAGAATTTTCTTCTCATATCAATCAGCCTCAGGTTATGGAACCATAAAATCATGACATTAAAAGAGATTCCTTCACTGAATCATGACCCTCTGTAGGACTGGCTATGAGTGAACCCCCAGCCTCGTACTCCTCACCATTTGTGATGTCCTTCCTGACTAGATCTCTTAACTAGCAACCCCAACCAACAAGCAACAAGAGAATCCCTGCTTGGGCTCTACAGCATTGATCTCTGACTCAAGAATTGTCTAATCCTGATTAAATCTACTCCTCCCCTCCCAGTGGCCCTCACTTGATCGAGAACAGAAGTAAGAGAGAGAGAGCACACCCTTTCCTGCCTGGATCATCTCCTTTCCCACCACTTGAGCGTGATGATCACTTTGCACAGAACAAAGCAGATCTGAGGCTGCTGCCAGTCCATCTGCCTTTGCCGCAATCACATTAGTTTTCCAATGTGGACTACCAATTCCAGGATGCTAGGCAGCTCCACTCCCTTCCCCAGAGTAGGGATGAGAAAACAAAACAGGACTTATTACTAGACTATGAGATTCATCTCTAAAGACTGACTTACAGGGCAATATGGCAACTTCATGGCCCCTTACTTATGTGAGCCCTCTGTTGTCCATATCTGTCCCCTTTCCAGAGGGAAAATTTGAAAAGCATGAGCCCTTTAGAAGGTAGAACTCTCTCTCCTAAGAAAGATACCATCTTCCCTGAAAGCAGGGACAGGGAGAAGTGGATTATAGCAAGACATTACTCACTGGCAGAGCCTGGGAAAAGTTGTATGTCAAATGGAATGGCCACAGCAGCGTCTCCTCTCCACACCCCGCACTCTTGCTCTTTGTTCTGTACTCTTCATGAGCCAACTGGCACTTTGAAATGAATTTTACACCCAGGTCCCATACTTCACTAAGGAAGGGCAGCATGAAGTTAGGGTAAAAACATGACTCTGTGGTCAGACACACCTGAGCTTGAATCCTAGCAGAGCTCCTGACAAGCCAGATGGTATGGGCACACTGAAGAATTTTCTGAGCTTTAGTATTCATCTTCTATAAAACAAGACTAATACTATCCACCACTCAGGACTGGTGGACAAAATATATAATGGAAACACAGGCTCTCAAAAATGTGTCCATTCTTTCTTTAATATGAATTTAAGTGAGTATGTCTCTGCTACTGATTGGAAGGCATTGTCCCATGTGAAAGGCTTATGAGGCACCAGTAAGAAGGTAGGGGAGCAGTTGGGAGAAGGCAGGTTAGAGTCCGGGGGGCTTCCTGGGTTGTAACAACACACAAAACAACAGTGCCCTCAAGGGCCGATAACCAAGTTGGCATTGCCTCTGAGGCTGCAGCAGGAAGAGGGTGAGGGGGCGCTGGCTGGCTCAGGGCTGTGGGATATCCTTTCTGAGTGAGGAAGGGCTGAGTCACAGGAAAACCAAGGGGCAAGAACATCACAGCTGTGAGATGGCTCCATCCCAATAGACTGCCCCAGACACCACAACCCCACTCTCAGCAGAAAGGGAGTCTATGTGGCCCTGTCCCACCCTTTGTCCCCTGACAGCAGAAGCACCCAGAATGTCTGGACACTCAGATATTTTGGGTCTGTGCTATATCCAGAGGCCTATATGGCCCCTGTCTATATGACATGGGTGTGATCCAGCCCATTCTGCTGAAGGTCTTTGTAGGGATGAGGCTTGTTTTTTTTTGTTCTTGTGGTGGTAGCAGAATATACATAATGTAAAACATTTTAAGTTCAGTGGCATTAAATAAATTCACACTGTTGTGCTACCATGACCAGCATCCATCTCCAGAACTCTTTATCTGATAAAGTTGAAACTCTGGATCCATTAAATAATAACTCTCTATTCCCTCCCTTGCCCCAGCCCCTAGCAACCATCATTCTTTCTGTCTCTATGAATATGACTACTCTGGGTACTTCATATAAGTGGACTCCTATTTGTCCTTTCAAGACTGACTTATTTCACATAGCATAATTTCATCTGGTCACTTGGGTTACTCCCACCTTTTTGCTATTGTGAATAATGCTGCTCTGAACATGGGTATACAAGAATCTTTTCACATCCCAGCCTTTAATTTTTCTGAGTATATATGTAGAATCAGGATTGCTGAATCATATGGTAAGTCTATGTTTAATTTTTTGAGGAATTGCCATACAGTGACTCCATCACTTTACATTCCCACCAACTGTGCACAAAGATTCTATATGAGGCTTTCTTTATTGCATGGGTTGGGTCTAATCCATCTGTATTCCCAGCTTGAGGTCACTAGTGACTCAGTCTTTCTGGCACCTGCCAGGCCTCTCACATTCCAGAACACACTTGGAGCTTCCTTAGAGATGTGGTTTGCTCCCACCACTCTCCTGTCCTCCAGCAGATCCCTTTGGTTCTTGGCAGGGGCTCACCTTTGGCATCCATGGCTCACCCACAGTTTTGTCTGGGGCTGGTAGCCTCCTGGCATGGGGGCTGGCACTCTGCACGACCCCCAGGATGACACCCACCATGAGGACTGCCCACGTGGTAGGATGGGAGCTGGGCCTGGTTACAGCTGTGGTCATCCTCCCTTTTGTCCCATACTGATTCCCTGACAGATGCCCCTTCCCTGCTTCATTTTTAGGTCTTATTTCCTACTGCAACTGATCATGTCTGACAAGATAAATGGACAGAGTAGTATTTCATCTTGAAGATGAAGATGCTCAGGACCCATGGAAGAACTCCCCAAAAGAAACAAATATAAGAGATATATATAAATATATATAGAGAGAAATATAAGAGAGTTAGGATAAAATTGGGGGGCTTCAGGCTCAGAACCAAAAACCCTCTTCTATCCCTCCACCATGAAGCCAAATGGTCAAGGCCTCTCACAGCATCTTTGTGTAATTAGATAAAAATGCCCTTTGGGGATTAGGTGTACAGCTCAGCTAAAAGACAAAATATTATGCCATATTCTCTGGGCACAGTCAGCCTTGCAGAAGCAGGTGCCATCTCTTCCTCCGGATCCTGGAGGACACACAGTTCTGCAAGCAGACCTAAGGCTGATTTCCAGCTCCCACTTGCCTGTGGTGATAACCATAAGTAGTAGTTCTGGGCTGTCTATGTTCCCAGTGTCAGTTCCTTCTGCCATCACCACCTTGGGGACAAGTCATTTACAGATCCTGTTGGCAGGAAGATTTTCTCTGAAGACCCAAAACTAAGGGTCTATCAGGTACCTAGTGATCCAAGAGCAGACAAGTGTCTCCTTGCATCAGGCAGGAAGGCAGCCCTGACTGGGCCCTAAACACGATGTGCCTCAGCAAATACCAAAACCGTAGCCCCGGCCTCCCTCACCCAACTACACACACACACACACACACACACACACACACACACAACCACACACAGCTTCTCACCTGAGCCACCTCTTCGAAGTCATCGTGCCTCTTCTGCAGGGCCCGGGCTCGATGCAGCGACTTCCCCACCCCGGTGTGTTTGCTGAGAAAGGCCTCACCGTGGTTTTCAATCCAGTCCAACACCTGTTCAGAGGAGGACAGAAACAATGACTCCCTGGCAGAAGGAAAGCCATGTGACAATAGCAGCGACCGCCAGCGTCCTGGAGTTCCCATCCCCATCAGAAAGCAGCAGTCCAGCTGGACATATTCGGCCCACCATGGACCCAGGGATTTCATTACTGTCATTGGTGATGTAATGCTCCCACCCTTAACTAGAGTCAACTCATCTTTGATTGCCAGGATAGTCCCTCGTTACTCGTTCAGTTTTCCCAGCCTTGATTTTTCCATTATTTTAAACAAGCTACACAGACTGTCAGGCACTGTTTAAGCCCCTCACTAACCTGCTTGGAGTTAGTGACCCACATAAAGTCAGGCACACGGGCAGAAAATGAGGCAGTGTCAGCTCAGGGCGATTCCTAGGCCCTGAAGGCTTCCTCATCCCTTACTTCCTCATAAAAATGCTCACAGCCATGTTCACAGGGACCCTGCCTCCTTGCACTCCTGGGACTCCCCTCCTAATCTCGAGAGGAAAGTTGGCACTGGTTAGGCCCTACCTGGCTGCTCCAGAGAGTGGTCACCAGGACAACTGTCCTTTCTGGCTTCCTCCCACCCCTCTCCTCCAATCAGCCCCAGCCAACCAACCAAATAAATTAAGGTCTTACATCCTAAGGCCTTTAGTATCTATGGTTTCTCCTGGAAAAAAGTGGAGACCCCATGTTTTTCTAGGCTTCAGATGGAGTGATTTGGCCTCAGGACATTTCCCTTGGTATTTAGAGAAGCTGGAATAGATGTGGCTGGAGCAGTAGAGGGATGAAGGAGGGGATGCTGAGAAGGTGAGAAAATATGTTGTCCTCAGAGGCACTGGACACCGGGAGTGGAAACCCCTTAGCAGAAGCCTTGAAATGGAGGGAGGACGACAGCGTTTAACATCTATTTTGCATTCACGCCGATGGCCCAACAAACATGTGCCTCCCAGAGTTGGCACTCAGTAAAGCAGGTGGCCACAATTAAACCAGTTAGAGTGTACAGCCACACACCTGCTAGAGATCCTGCCAAGACAACTGAGCCCACTCTATTCTGGCTATTCTGGAGTTAATCGGAACATTTGGTTAATGGTATGCTAGCCTTCTCAGGTTCTAGTCCTTCTAGAACTTTCTGGGAAAAATGATCTAGATGAAACAGGCCTGTTTTAAAGGATGCTTAAGGGAGGTCCTGGGTGTTCCATAGGTTGGGCACCTGCTTTCAGCTTAGGTCATGATCTCAGTGCCCTGAGAGTCTGCTTCTTGTATCCCTCTGCCCAACCCCCCCGCTCTTGCATGTGCACATTCTCTCTCTCTCAAATAAATAAATAAATAAATAAATTCTTTAAGTAAGAAAGTAAATAAATAAAAGGATGCTTTAGTCCATTCCTCTGTTTCTTCTACAGACTACCCCATGGCAAGCAGATAGACCAAATAATCCCATGAAGTACAAGCACAGGAGTTCTGTCTCCAGAGAATCTAGTCTTTGGCTTCACTTTCTTTAACATTTGAAATAAATTACACCTGCAATTGCACAAAGTATGGAAGGCTTCAAAGTCTCAGGACACTACCACAAGGCCCACAACAAGATGGATATTAGGTCAGAGAAATGTACGCAGGAATATAAAAACGAGATTTAACAAACATCCGTTTAACAAAACTGGAATGTCAGACAATTGCCCATTAAAAAGGAGAAAAGAAAGGCTTTTTAGAAAATGACTATATAAACACTGGGTGTAGAGATTTAAATATTTTATACAACAAATTCTGGCAATATATGTTTTTAATATTCTAGAGGCATGTCTATGAAAAGAAATTGCAGTAGTAAACGAACTGGGTTTTTATCTTTTGCAAACACCGAAAGGCAGCACTGAAAGGAAATCTAAATATCCCTTTCCTCGAAGAAAGGAGAGCCCACATCTCTCTAGAATTATGTATGGGAGAATTTCAGCAATAACAACAAAAATCAGGAGAGTGCATTTTTACTTGACTTGACACAACGTGAACCCACAATTTTCTATTGTAAAGAGGATGATGAACAACAGCACGCAAGGTCAAAGAGAAGTATTTCTAGTCACAAAGTTTTCCATGTCTTACATACCATTGAAAGTGCAGTTTTATAACCTTTATGCATATTTAAACTTTTGTTAATCCCATGAAGTGAAGCTTATGGATAATTTTGATAATTTTTATATATTAAACTTATGTTAATCCCATGAAGTGAAGTTTATGGATAATTTTGATAATTTTTTTTTAGGATTTTATTTATTTGACAGAGAGAGAGAGATCATAAGTAGTCAGAGAGGCAGGCAGAGCGGGAGGGGAAGCAGGCTCCCTGCTGAGCAGAGAGCCAGATTCGGGGCTCCATCCCAGGACCCTGAGATCATGACCTGAGCTGAAGGCAGAGGCTCAACCCACTGAGCCACCCAGGCACCCCAATTTTGATAATTTTTATATATAAAAGGGCTGTCTTGTGGCTTTTGATAATTTCTTCAGAATTTATAACAGATTTTCAAATTACAATTTTGGTTTTTAGGTGTGAGCAGTTAAGTGTGACCTGCTTGTCTGGCAATGTTTTAATGAGTTTATTTTATTTCATTTCATTTTGTATCTCTAGTTTTAATAAAATTTGTTATGCTAAAACAAATGGGTTTAAGAGGAAAGCTTTCCATCTACTGGCTCACAAATGGTTAGCTTTTATACTCCCCAGGGGTAATTTCACAACTTGTAAACTTCTCTCAAAAAGCAATTTGTGTTCTATTTAAGTTCTTTTGCTTTCTTTAAAATGTCAATTCATTGTCAGTTAATGACACTTAAGTTGACTTAATTAGCTCTACCTTAACCTCTTAAAAATCTATTATTCATATTTGATAGATTTTTATTAGCTTAAACATAAATTTGATTGCTCTGTGATTTTATATTGTCCCCATCCAGTCCAGCTTCTGTCATCAGAACCGAAGCTGTGGGGAACCCATGAGCAAGCTCTGTGAAGATGCAGAGACGGCATGGAAATCAATTTAACAAATAAAACGGCAAATGATTTAGCATGTGAACAAAATTACTTTAATAATCCATAGAGACTGAAAACGTACCCAAGGATAGAGAAACATAATCACTATAGGAGGTATTGTTTAAAATGCTGATTTCTGATCATTTTTTTAAAAAAGATCTTATTTATTAGATAGAGAGAGAAATCACAAGTAGGCAGAGAGGCGGGCAGAGAGAGAGGGGGAAGCAGGCTCCCTGCTGAGCAGAGGGCCCGACTCGGGGCTCGATCCCAGGACCCTGAGATCACGACCTGAGCTGAAGGCAGAGGCTTAATCCACTGAGCCACCCAGACACCCCATGACTTCTGGCCATTTTGTGTCGGACAGTTCAGTTGGAGCCAGCCTTATCTGACACACATTTAGACCCCATGCTCTCTTGACCCTGATTCCATGTCCCCCAGTTCTGGGAGTACAATCTAGCTTTGCCCCAGAGAAATGTGCTTTCTGAGCAGACACCAACAGTGTCTGATAATTACATCATACCCTGCAAATTAACATGCAGCACTGGAAAGTAGGCTATCCCACAGTTTCTGGTGCATCCCAGACTTGAGACATCACTGGTTGAAGACTAAATTGCATTTCTAGCCAAATCCCTGGAACCCTACTGAACTATGCATCCACCAAGGCACCCCACACTAGCTACCCCTGTTTAATTCTCTCATCTACAAAATTTTATTTAAAATAATCAATTATCAATTTTAGTCAAGATAGGACAGGAGGATAGTTAGTAATCCTATGAATGGCTTTGAATTGGTTTTCAAGTGTTTCCAACATAGAAGGTTTTACTTTTTAGTTTATGCCTGCGGGTTCTTCATGAAGCAAAGAAGCATATGAGGGATGTGAATGTCACTGGATTCAGATAGATACTTATTAGTCTTATTGTGCCCCAGTGCTGGGCCCCAGAAGAGCCCAGGATGTAGTATTAAACAAGGCAGGCAGGGCCTTGACTCTGGGAACCTAGACTATGGTGGGAACAGGCACCGCACAGGAGATCACACAATGTCATCAGTTGCAGTGGTGAAAGGGTCAACAATCAGGGAAGGACTATCTGAAGAAGTGAGGGTGTAGCTGAGCGCTGAATAGGACTTACCCAAGAGGAGGACTTAACCAAGCTAGGAAGGAAAAACATCAGCATGGCCCGAGTAGTGGTAAGTGGGTGATGAGCCCAGAGAGGGCAGGAACCAGATATGCTGAGCCCTGGTGTGCCCAGTCAGATTCCAGGGCTCGTCCTAAATGCCACTGAAGGGCTGGTGCAAGAATAAAGACCTGAATTTAAAAGTTACTACTTTTGCTTTGTGGAGAATCAGAGGGAGGCAAGAGTAGAGGTGGGGAAACGGGATGTTATTGCAGAAATCCTGACAGGAGGCAATGGTGGCTCAGATGAGCCCAAAGGCAGTGTGTGTGGGTAATATTTGGGGGAGAGAACGGCCAGGTTTGGTGGTTAGGTATGGGGGCCATAGTGGGGCAGTGGAAGGCTGACCCCCCCGGGGCACAGCTTGAGTAACTGTGCGGAAGGAGGATCTGGTCACTGGTGCATAAGCAAAAGAGTTATAAGGGACAGCACAGAGATAACAGATTCTTCTGTTTTCTTTCCATTTTCATACTTGCGCTCTGGTTCTGATAAATGACAGTTATGCCTGTGAACTTGAGTGGGAAGTAGCACCCAGTGATAGCTGTCAATCTGATTCTGGCAAGATGTATCTTTAGTTTCAAAGAAGCAATTTTATACATTTGGGTTTAAAAATAAGTTATAAGGTGCTAATATAGTTGGATCCTAAAATTAACAAAATAGGGACACCAAATCCATTTGAAAAACACAAACTTAGACTTAAATGGAATTAACCTGTACATTCTTCATTTTCTTTTTTTTAAAGATTTTATTTATTTATTTGACAGAGATCACAAGTAGGCAGAGAGAGAGGAAGGGAAACAGGCTCCCTGCTGAGCAGAGGGCCCG